CTTCTCCAGGCTGAACAAGCCCAGCTCCCTCAGCCTCTCCTCGTAGGAGAGATGCTCCAGTCCCCTCCTCATCCTCGTAGCCCTCCGCTGGACTCTCTCCAGTAGCTCCTCATCTTTCTTGAACTGGGGAGCCCAGAACTGGACACAGTGCTCGAGATGGGGCCTCACTAGGGCAGAGCAGAGGGGGAGGAGAACCTCCCTCGACCTGCTGGCCACGCTCTGCTTAACACACCCCAGTGCCCGCATGGAAGGTTGCCATCACAGCAAGAAAAATGGTGGATTTTGGGAGTCAACAGCCAAGGCACATGATGCCAGCAGTCCCATGGCTGTGGATGAGCTGGTGTTTGCTGCACCACGTGTCCCCAGTTGCCCTTGGGGCTTCAGGGCTGCGGGACCACCCCTGTCTTCTGAGCAACCGCCCTGTCCTGCCGTATCTTAGCTTTGGCAATTAATTGGCAAGGGGAAGCCATTAGCCCCCAGGGACACCCTGCTGCTTCATCAATATTGCTTAACAAGCTAGAGAGGCTCCCAGATGAAGCACCTCATCATCTGGCAGCACGTAAATGGGCACGTTTCAACCCCCCACCCCCTGAGCGCACCAGGACACATCCGGAGTTCCCAGCCCACAGGTGGCCGGAGCCCCCAGGATGAGGAACCAGCCAGCTTTTGCAGGTGACTCACGATCAGCACGTTGCCGCAGAGCATCAGGCTGAGGTTCTTGGTGAACGTTCCCACAAAGTCCACCAGCGCCGGGCGGAAATTAGGAGGGCCGGTCAGCACCAGGCATTGCGGTCTGCAGGCAGGGAGAGAAAAGGGGGAGAAGGCTGATATTTCGGAGGCACCGAGCCTCTCTGCAACGAGCTGTGCCTCTGCTCCCATGTGTGGCCAGCGGCAACGATGAGGCATCTTTACAATGAGGCAAAATCACGTGGCTGAGGGTCCAGCCTCAATCTTTGGACTTTTTATGTCAGATTAGACCAATGTGGTATGAGGAAGGCAAGGTTTACCCTGCTTTCCACCTCTGTCCACATGGCAAAGATGTAGGATTTTGGAGACAGATGCATTTTGCCGGGGCTCCTGGTTACCGAGGAGGGTGGTGAGGACGTGGCCATGGGCATGAAGCCATCCTGGGTTTGCCGGTGGTGGTGGCTGGCTCCGCATCCCCCCTCCCTCCATGCCTGGCATCACGGCAAGCCGCCCTTGCCTGTAGTTCTTGATGTGCTCGTCCACGTCGCTCAGCCCCACCGAGTAGTTGAGGGCCATGTTGTATGAGCTGGCTTGCATGGAGGAGCCCCAGTTGATGTCTATGTGGGGAAGATGGATTAGCAACAGGGCCAGACACCTCCTGGGGGCATCGCCGGTGCTGGGTTACCACCACACACCTGGCTTTTTGTAGAGGACGTATCCCAGGAGGAAGATGACGATGCCAAAG